CGTGTGTGTGTGTGTGTGTGTGTGTGTGTGTGTGTGTGTGTGTGTGTGTGTGTGTGTGTGTGTGTGTGTGTGTGCGTGCGTGCAGGCGTCGCGGCTGCTGGGGAAATGGACGGGCGACTTGCGCTCAGAAACGCCGACCACCGTCATCAACTACTTTGAGGAAGCGATACAGATTGCGGAGACGGAAGACCACGTGCGTATTGACATTGGTTTGAAGCAAGAGGCATTGTCCTGAGATGACTTTATCAGAACATTAGCACCCGGCTTTCGCTGTCTCCACCAACGAACACACACACACGCACACACACATGCATTTGCATGCTCACACATTCACCGTCAAACCCACAACTTTCATCCAACACAATCACCCATATGCACGTGCGTTGAGTGTATGCAGGTTGGCGGCACGTCTGAACAGTACCGGCAGGCACAGCAGAGGCACAGGGACAAACAGAAGGCAGAGTGCTGGCTTGCGCTTGCGCAGTACACAGACGGGCAGTACCAGCTGCTGACGGAGAAGATGGAGTCGAGCGATCACACGCGGCACCTGGAGATTATCCGCAAGAACGATGCGGAGGTGACCATGCACAAGCAGTCACACAACACAGGCAACCGCTCAAGAAACAAGCGCGTCATGGTGGGTTCTTTTCTTGCCGCGTGTTTGTGTGGTTGTGGTTTGTGGGTTGTGGTTGTGGTTGTGGTTGTGGTTGTGGTTGTGTTTCTGGTTTGTGTTTGTGGTTTGTGGTTGTGTTTGTGTTTGTGGTTGCGGTTGCGGTTGTGGTTGTGGTTGCGGTTGTGGTTGTGGTTGTGGTTGTGGTTGTGGTTGTGGTTGTGGTTGTGTGTGCATGTGTATGGGTTTCACTTTGCCTGTGCACTGTGTTGTTGCTTTCACCTTTGCTGTTTGTGACCGTCATCCGATTCGCCCCCGCCTCCCTGCTCCTTCCCCTTCTTCTCCCTTGCGTTTCTCCTCTTCTCTCACGTTCTCCCCATCCCGTCTTCTTGAACCGTTTATTGACGGCAGCTGCTGAAGCGGCGGTTGAAAGGCGACAAGGAGGCCCTGATTGCCATGCAGACCCGCCAGCAGGAATACCTACAGCTGGCGCTGCGCAATTACATGCTGGCAGCACGCGAGACGCAGAGCGCCTATCGCGACATCATCTTCCGCGTGTGTGCGTTGTGGTTCCAAAACTCGTCGCTGGAGCCCGTGCAGTCCATCATTGCAGAGGGCGCCGCCGACCTGCCCACGTACCTATGGCTGCCCCTCATCTACCAGCTCGCTGCCAGGTACGTGTGTGTGTGTATGTGTGTGCATGTGTGTGTGTGCGTGCGTAATTGAGTCGTTTTGGTGTGTGTGTGTGTGTTGCGTGGATTGTATGAGTATATGTGCTTGAGTATCTTTGTGTGTGCTTGTGTCTGGAGTTGTTCTTGTTACACTTTAATTGTCTTCCCCACCCGCACATCTGTGTAGGATTGACAAGACGCATCCGCCGAGCAGTTTCCACAAGACGTTGGGTGACCTGGTGAAGCGTGTGGCGGTGAACCACCCGCACCACGTGCTCTTCGTTCTCATTGCGCTGGCCAATGGCGATCAGGACGGGATCCGCACGCTCACATCCGCTGCCGTCGAGGTGCAAACTACACAGTGTTGGTATTGTTGTTGATGGTGCTGTGCTGTTGTTGTTGAAACATTTTGTTGATGGTGTTGCTCTTCGTCATTTCTGGGTCAGTTTTGGTGCGTGGAAGCACTTTCCTCAGCAGCAATGCACCTGCAATCACCCACTCACACACCTGCTTATTCGTAGAAAACAACGAAGATGGAGGCTGCTGATACACTGCTGCACGAAATTGAAATGATGAAGGGCGAGTCTTCATGTGCTGCAACCTCGTGATGGTGCTGCTTTCTAATTTGACTTTGCCATTATCTTCCTGCTGTCCTTCTTTCACACCCATGCCGCCCACACTCATACACGCGCGCGCCTTCGCAACTCTCCCCTCTTTTCACACCAGATGGTCGGGGCAGGAAGATGGCCCCGCTGCTGAACCAGATGCGAACGGTGTGCTCGGGATACACTGAGGTGCGCCACCAGCTGCTGACTGCAACATTGCTGAGAGTTATTTTGGGAGATTGCATGGGATGGCTGTACACGTGGTGGTTGATGCGTGTTCTGCTTTGCGCACGGCTGCTTGGTCCAGTCACTGACTTCAGCTCCCTTTCCGTGCGCATTTGATCGTGTGTGCGTATGTGTGTATGTGTATGTGTGTGTATGTGTGTGATGCATTTGTGTGCAGCTGGCCATGATGCCCATTGCCAGAGAGTACCAGCGCAACCCGGAGCAGTACAGGAAGAAATTTTCGCTCGCCACCCTGAAGCATGTGGAGAAGGTGAGCAGTCTAACTGTGCGGGACCGGATTCACAACAGCTTACAGCAACATTCCATGGCTTGAAGCTACATTCTATGGCTTGAAGCTACATTTTGCTCTTTCTAACACACACAAACACACAAACACACACACACAAACACACACACACACACACACACACACACACACACACACACACACACACACACACACACACACACACACACTCACACTCCCTTTGTTCGGTGCGACCACAGGTTGCTGTGCTGACAAAGGAGGTGCCGGTTGACCCGACGGGCACGTACAACGACGAGGCGGTGGTGCGCATCGTCAAGTGGGAAGACCAGTTTTCGTTTGCAGGCGGCGTGAATCTGCCGCGCATTTTGAATTGCATCGGTACGGACGGAAAGATCTACAAAGAAGTGATCAAAGGGAACGACGACTCGCGGCAAGATGCCGTCATGCAGCAGGTGCGACAACATGAGGCAGAGGAGGCGCGTGTGTGTTTGTGTTTGAGGGGGGGGGGAGGGCAAAAAAGAGGTTCATTGTTGCGGGATGCTGTTATCGTGATTGCGCTGTGGCGGTGGAAGTTGACAGTTTAATGAGCTGCACTGCAGTACACGAAGTGCATTGTGCTTACGTGTGTGCGTGTATGTGATTACACGTGCGTGTTTACGTGGGTATGCTTAACCTCTCGTGGCTTGTGTTGTGCAGGTGTTTGGGGCAATGAACCAGTGGCTAAAGAGCGATCCAGAGTGTCAACGCCGCTCCATGCACATCCGCACATACAAGGTACGAAACATGAAAAGGATACATGCTATGTTTGCGCATTGAACCTGCATTGGTCCGACATTGACCTCCAACACACACACACACACACACACGCACCACATAAATGTACACAGATTGTGCCGTTGTCCAGCAAGGTTGGAGTGCTGGAGTGGTGCGTGAACACGGTACCGCTTGGCATGTGGCTGGTGAAGAGGGAAGGGAGCAGCAAACCGGCGCACGAGCGCTATCGTCCGCAAGATCGCCCGTCACACCAATGCCGCACAGCCATGCGAAGTGCGTCTGTCCTCTCGGCTGTCACAGTCATCATTGTGTGTGTGTGTGGGGGGGGGGCACTGTCTTGGTTTGTGCGCTTGGTGTGGCTTGCATGTGATGGTGGTGTGGTTTTGCCGTGTGCCAAGCGTACGCGCCGCCTTGAGCCTCTTGCTTGCTGGTTGTGTGCCCCTGACCGCAACTGCGATGACCGCAACACCAATCCTCCCCCTTATAAATCACCGTTGTGCTCATGTGCTGGTGCTGGTGCAGAGTCGAAGGTGGATAAGGCGCGGCAGCTGCAGACATACCGGGACATCTGCGCCCAGTTCAAGCCCGTTATGCGGTGAGGGGATTGGGCGATATCGGGTGATGGGGTGATTAGGTGATGGTCTACTATACACCTCGCAGTCAAGTCATGACACACACACACACACATATGTGCACAACCACGAACGACTTTGCTCCTCTCCTCCCTCGTTCACACGTGTGCGTGCGTGTGCGTATGCAGGCGGTTCTTCACGGAGAAGTTCCAGGATCCGGGCGATTGGTTCGAGCGGCGGTTGGCGTACACCCGCAGCGTCGCCACCAACAGCATGGTCGGATATGTCATCGGCCTCGGCGACAGGTTGGTGTTGGTGTTGGTGTTGGAGGCAGATGCATTGTTATTTGCTTTTACCCCTTTCCGTTGTTGGTCTCTTTTGTTCATGTGAATTTGCGAATGATTTTTTGGCGAAGAACCTGCACCCATTACACGAATGCTGTTTGTGTTGAGGACATGCTTTGTTGCACGAGAGGTTTTACGCTTTTCACATCACCACAATCGCGTACCCGCTCCCCACCACCGCCACCACCACCACCACGACTGCCGATAGACATCCAAACAACATCCTCATTGACACCAAGACCGCTGAGCTCGTCAACATTGACCTGGGCGTTGCCTTTGAGCAGGTGAGCGCACACATGCGCTTCTTGACCTGTTTGCATGTGCGTGCATGTGCGATATGCGCGTCTTTGCTGGCGTGCATGTGCAGAGTGTACACATGTGTGTAGTGTGTGCATGTATTAGCGTACATGCCTGATTAACGCCACCTCATCACCCCACTCCACACCCCACTGCTTCTCTTCACTGCCAGGGCACGACGCTGCCGACGCCCGAGACGATTCCGTTCCGCCTCACGCGGGACATCATCGATGGGATGGGCATCTCCGGTGTTGACGGCACGTTCAGGTATGCCCCTCAAGCGGGCAGCTGAGGTCTTTAAAGCGCGTGCATTTTGCCGCAGCAGAATAGCGCCAACGCCATCCTTACACTGTTCAAATACACTCACACACACACACACACACTCAC